AGACAAGTAGTTGGAGGTTCGAGTCTCCACCACTTATATGAATATTGTCAAGCTAGTGAAACTTTTAACAATGTTTGAATGCTAGGTGATTGGATCCAAGAGTTACATAAACATCAAGTTTTATGCCAAACCAATTTCTGCATTTACATTTATTATGCATCATAATTTTTGAAAAATTGCATTATTGGATGTGATATTATATATATGCGTAGATGATTACTATATTTTATTTATTTCTTTCCTAAATTTATGCTGATTGAAAATATATCTCACTCTTTCACATTTATGTGTTTGTTATGTTTGTGTCTCTATGTGTTCGGATGCTGATGCCCCATCCATTTCGGAACATCGAGATTGATTTTGAGATGATGGATACTGGAGGGACCACCCTTTGGGTTACTACAATACCTACGAGGGTTGTGTTATTATTTATTTCTATGAGGTGAACAATGATTTAATTCTCCAGCTTGTTACCCGTAAGATTCCTTTAGTCTTTACTATGCCTATACCCATGGAGTTTTATTGTCGTTGTACCGCTCTCATTGAAAATTTTCTTTTTCTATAGTTAGTTCCTATACATCTACCCCTTGTGAATTGGTTTCATAAAACTCTTGATACAATTTTTTAAAAATGCTATGATTCGAAGTACAAGCTAATTTTATTAATTATATAACGGCTTCTGACCATATAATCATTTTTATTAAAGATTCAATTAAGTTCAAAGTACATGTCATTTCAAAAGAGACCCATCAATCGAACAGTTAAATTAAACTGTTCTCTCGTATATATATATATATATATATATATATATATATATATATATATATATAGGAGCCCTTTCAGGCGTAAGCCAGATAACTACTGCAACAATTGCATACAAGTCAATGCTGCTGTATAGGTAATATATATGGCAAGGGAAGGTGGAGTGTTGGTTTAAAAGAGGGGGTTCAAGGGTGTGTTGCAGATGGTACCGAGGGAAAATTTTGGAAAAATAAATGGTGGGAGAGGAAAAGTTGTGTATTATGTTTAGCAGATTGTATATCTCTCTCCTAATAAAAATTGAGTATTTTTTAGGTGGTTGAATGGAGGATAACCAGTGGGTATGGAAGCTTAGTTGGAGAAGGAATTTTGTGATTGGGAAAAAGATATCACAGAGGGGCTGTTGTAGCAGTGAATACTGTGAGAATCAATTTCATCCAGATTCTGGAATTTGGAAACATAATTTTGCAGGTCCTTATGTAGTGAAAAGTGTAAATGGATTACTGCAACAAGGGTGACAGATTGATTACGGCTTCTTTGCAAAGTTTTGGACAAGGTTTGTTCCTAATGAAGTGACCGTTTGTACCATGAGAGCTCTTCTAGAGAGGGGATTTTGTTGGATGTCAAGATTTGGGTTTCTTTTGCAAAGAAAGTGTGGAATTTTTAGTTGTCATATTTTCTGTACTTGCTCAATTTCACTCTTTGTGGTGAAAATTTTATGTATGGTTTGGAATAAGCTCGGTGATGTCGTGAGACTGCAAAACGAACTTTTTCGTTTTTACGACGTATAGGGATTTGCATTAACAAAAATGCAAGAAAGGCACGATTTTTAGTATAATTTGCTACACTATGGACTGAAAAGGAATGGAATTATTTTTAGACAGAGAATTTGATGAATGCAAACTTGTGGACGTAATCGAGGTTAAATAAGAGCTAAATTTGATAGGGTTTACTTTCCATAGTATAAATGGTTTAGCAATCCTATCATTTGCCTATCAGTGATGTAACAAGTGGTTTATGTCCTGTTCGAATTTTTGTTCCTTTTTCGTATTGTTGGACTTGATTTTGCATATGGGTTGGGCACTCCGAGTGCTCCCCTGTACGTATTTTTGTTTTGCTGATCAGAAAACCAAAAAAATACAAGTCAACGTTGTCAAGTTTAAGCCTTTTACCCAAAACAAATAGAACATAGTAGTAGATTCTTCTACCGATGCTCTATATCTTTTTTTTTTCCTTAAAGTTAATCAATAGAGGTTGATTATACATCAAGTTTTAAATTTCAAGAATTAATGTTATTACAAGATGATGATCGGGCAAATGGAAAGTCATTGATAAGGTGTAACTTAAATGTTTAGTTGAAGAAAAATTGGAGGGGATCGGAGAAAACTTATTTTATAGTTTTTCATGTTTAATTTAATACTTTTTTTAGTCTATTCTATAAGAAATAATTATGAGTATTATTTTTGCCTTAATTATAAAAAATAAAGATCCATTATCAGATGCATTAATTGTTAGATTCATTTTGTATTATTATTAATTCTTTTTGGAAGGATGTGAGTTAAGATAAAGAAGACGTACAGTTTTTAACAGAGTTCACAATATCTCGCAAGATAGTTAATTAAGGATGATAAGATTGCAGACTAGGGAACTTGGATTAATAATGGTGGTGTGTGAATGGAGTTTTTCTTGGAATAATCTCTCTCTGCAGAAATTTCTCACTTGTTGTATTCAATTCTCTTGAAACATGATTAGGAAGATGTTTGGAAATTGTCAACGAAAAATTTGGGCTTGTATTCTTCAAAGACAGCATTAAAAATGGGATTGTAGGGGACGAAGCATTTTTCATGAAATTTTGGAATAATTAGGCTCTATTTTAGCAGGTGATACTAGATAGACTTTCAACAAGGTTCAATTTGCTGAGAAGGGTATGAAGTAATATAAACAATTTACTGCGTGAGTTTCACATCAAAGTGTAGAAACCTTTGATCATTTAAGTTTTCATCATTCACTTTATTAAAATATCTATGCAAATTATGATTGATTGCATTGTCATTGTGTTCTACTTCTAGACAGCAATAGCATTGCACATTTCTATCGACTTCGTGGGCTAGTGCGTGGGAGAAGATCAATAAAGGTTTGGTGTTTTTATGATTTACTGTTTTTTGGTCATCTAGAATCACTACATGCCACTATCTTTAGGAATGAAAGTTTCGAAATCCCATGCATTTTACACTTTGTTAAAATAAGATATCGGGGTGAAGGATGAAAATTAGACTCAAATCTAGTATGTACTTACAAAAAAAAAAATCTATGATGGGGAGAGAAATTTTATATTAAGAGTGAGTTTGGATAAATTAATTAAGTACTTATTTAATAATTTTTTCAATGCAAGATGACTGGTATGTTAAAAGAGTTTAATGAAAAATATAAATTATTTTTATAAACTATTTCAAATACTTGCTAAATGAGTCTAGATGTGAATGTCAACATTTATTCTTGAAAGTTTATGAGGATGAGAGTGAGTATGGATACTGTACTACACAACCTGCTCTATACTCACAGTTATTTAATGTATTATTAATTTTAAATTGAAAAACTAATAAAACTCTACTTACATCCTTACAACTTCAAAATATTATAACTCACAAATCTGCTAACATCCTTCGCCATTCCTTTAACCCGAATTCCTTAATTAATAACCTTATCTTTTGATGTTAAAATTGCAAATTCTAACACTTTATACTGTTATTATCTAACATATTTCTCTTTGTAATTAACTGTGCTCGAGTGTTGTTGCAAGGTCATTTAACAAGTTCTTTTTTTTTTTTTTTGCTATTATTTAACAAGTTCTTTGATCAACAAACATTGTTGATCGGCCATCTAACAATTTCATCTGCATCATTAGAGATGAAATAGCATTTTTTTTTTGTTCATTAAGCTAAGTATCAGTATTTAGATATCTACAAAGTATATATAGAAATGAATACTAATTTTACTACTCACACAAGTCCATGGAAATAAATATATCTTTAAAACGTGGATATAGAAATATTATATATAATAACCTCATCGTGGTCATAGTTTCGCTCCATGTATTTTTTTCAAACATGGTTGTTCTTTTCATATTAGCAGAATGCTCATACTATTGTTTGACACAAGCTTTGATTCTGTCATGTTAGTTTTTGTAAATGAATCTAAGTACTGTTTTTACTTTTTCTTAAGTATATTTCCTCTTCTGGTTATTATTGATTCTAAAAAATTAAAGTGGTATTTACATGTTTTGCTTTTTGTCATTTTCACAGTGTGCGTTGTACGTTGTTGTTGTCCATGATTTTATGAGAAATATTTTATAGTCCAATTTTAACCTTTTTTTAAAAAAAATACTGCTATCATTTTTAAAATTTTAACCTATCTTTTGTTAACAAACACAAATAATAAGAATTTAATTAAAATATATTGATGATATAATAATATTTACATTATTATTTAACTATAGACTCTCATATTATTAAAAATTATTAATATCTACCTTTATTAGTCATACTTAAGTAATTTTTAACTAATTCATCATATAAATTTTTAACATCGGTAATGTTTAAAATTAAACTCCAAATGTTAATACTATCCAAATCGTAACATTCTTGAGAATGTCATAGTTAAAAACATACATCGAAACAAACGCATCTTCAAATAAGCGTACATAATACATACACATGCTTTATATAAAAAAGACATACACATGCTTCATTAAAAAAAGTACATACACATGCACCTATCTAGATGAGGAAAAAAAAGTTGCCGTACAGAAAAAGTTCAACGGAGAAGGTTGCAAGGAACGTGAAGATTATGCTTAGGATAAATAATATTAACTAGTTAAAATACGTGTCACTAAATTTGGAAGGTAAAAAGAACAGTAATGAAATACACATGTAAAACGATGAACTCATAGTGCAGTGTTGGATGTCAAAACAAACATAGTTAATCCAACTTCGTAGGAGAGAGACCCAATAAAATCTCTTTCCTATTCATATTATTTATAATCAAGATAAAGAGAATAGAAAAGAAGAGCATACGATAAAGGAAAAAAAGCGTGATGATAAAGAAAGATATATAAAATAATAAAATATGAAAAAAAGAATAAAATAATTAAAAGGAATAGTAACGCCTAGTACGCTTTTGACACGGGAAACAAATAGAAAATGATAAAGAAAAAGGAAGGGTACGGAGATGGAAATATATACCTTGAACTTGCATACTCAAAGAGCTTGCTGGTGGCAGAAAAGACTATGAGAGCTATCTCAGCATCACAAAGGGTTGACAGTTCCTGAGCCTTCTTGAAAAGACCTTTTCTCCTCTTAGAGAAAGTCACTTGCCTCGCATTTATGTTGTCGATCTTCTTGATCGGTATCTTCTTTCTCGTCATTTCCCTATACATAACCAATAACATCTTTCTTAACCATTTATAGAAACGTAAATTTATCTATATGTGAACGCTTAATTAAAGAAGAAGACAGATCAAGATGAAAATAATATACATATGCATGTAGGGTGGGGTGGGGGGGGGGGGTTCGAGAGAAAACCATTGTGTTACGATATCTAGCAAAAATTAGGAGTATTGGAAGCATAAAGAGAAAGAAAGGGGGAAAACAAAGCTTGTTGAAATGGGAGAAACCCTTACTCGGAGGAAATTTTGAGTATGAACAGTAAAGTGAAACTGGGAAGAAAAACGAACCCTTACCTTTCCCTATGTAAAAGCTGAAGTGGGTGATTAGAATGATTCCTGATTACGTTAATGGCAATTAGAAGAGAAGAGAGTGTTGGGTTACCCCTAATGGATGAGTCTCATGTGCATATTTCTCTGAAATTATCTATCAATATATCCCCTTCCATTCTCTGGCTGCTATTGCTCAGTTTCGAATTTATATATTTATATTTCTTACCAAAATAAGTATTTGATATTTGTATTCGTTTTTCTATTTAGAAGCTTTTCCTTTTCTTTTGTTTGGTTCTTTATAAGCCTTCCGTACAGATAGCTACTGGTATCAATCGCCCGTCGCCAGCTATAATGACAATTGATGTGATCGCATGTCCAGTAGTTATTACAACAGAGAGTTGCTGTTTATTCATTTTTAATTCATTAATTATGCTATTTTATTAGTAATTTTGACAAATTTTAAATTCTAATTTCTTTAATTTGTTAAGGGTTTTGTAATATCATTTTTCAGCTTAAATTTTAAGCAATTAAAAATAACAATATATAAGTTTTTATGGTTTGGTCGCGCAGTCATCTTCTTCTGCGTAGTGCCGCGTTTACGAAATGGATGAATTTTATCTCATGTGACCGTATATTTTAATTAAAAAATTCTAAATATTTTTATTTTTATATATTTTTAAGTATTAAAAATATTTTAAATTTTGAAGAGAATAATAGCTTATAAAACTCTCATAAATCTATAATTGGTCGCTACAGGAGTTGTACCGAAACGATAACGTGTATCTATCACGACTTTATATTTAATGGGAGACGACATTTCCAAGTCAAGCATGGTAAATATTTACCTTTCTTGCTTTCTTCCACCGGCCAAAAATAGGAACAAATTCAGGCCTTTCTTATGAAAAAATAAAATATCAAAATATGGAATTTCGTGACTTTTAGCTTGAAAATTATGAGAAATTGTCAATAAGTTTTTTATATTTTTTATTTTTTATTTAAACTGTCGATAACAATTCGAAAACAAAAGTAAGGCAAGCATTGAGGTCCTAAACTCGTCCCTGTTCCTTACTACCTTTGGAAATTGGGAAAAGTTTAAATTTGGTCAAAATGAGCTATTTCATGTAAAGTTGGTTCACGAATTTAGATCTAATTATCTTGTCTAAATAGTTCTTAATTGTTTTTATTTATTTATTTTATATTTCTTTTGTGTTTTATCTTTATGAAATTATATTTTATTTATTTATTAAGATATGAGATGTGACATTTTTAACCATAAAAAACAAATGTGATATGTGATATTACCTTTAGATACACACCAATGCATTATGAATTCAGTTTTATAATAAAAGAAATGGAGTTATCGATATTTATAAATTGTAAATCTGACCTTTTTTTAATCTTAAATTCTGAGCTTAATTTATTTATTAGATATAAGTGTTTTTTTAAGGCTTAGTTTAACTTATTTAAGAATTTAATTAAAAATATATTTCAGAGCTTAGGTCTCGTTTGGTAAGAATTTCAATTTCAGATTTTAAAAATAAAAACTAGTTTTTAATAATCAAATATTCAAGTTATCATTAGCCAAAATAATAATAATAATAAGTTTGTCATGTGCACACTCTGCATCGGTCGTTGTTTGTTATTTTTTCATATTTGGTTTGAGGTAAGAAATTATTTGGTGTATTTTTTTTTATATATATTTTGTTATATTAATAATTAAAATTGAAATTAACTGTATTTCTGTCAGGTGATTCAAATCTTGATTTTGCTGGTGAAAAAGTTAATTTTCTTCAACATTAGTTAGTAGAAATTAAATTTAAATAAATAGTTTAATCATTTGTATAGTTTGTAATAGTTTAAGGTAATAGATATAGATAATTTTAGAAACTAATATGTTGTTATGGTAATTTTTTATAATAAATAAAATTATTAGATATTTGATTATTATTTATAAAATATTAGTAATTGGCATTTAAAAATATCAATTATAAGAAATATAATTATTATGAGTATTAATATAACTTAAATATTATTAAATTAATAATTAATATATTTATTGTTGAAATATTGTAAGTAAATTTAGAAAAATATTACTTAGATATTATTTATTGCTTTGTTTGTATTTAGAAAATATGTAATTATTAGATAGTTGATTCTTATTTAATTAGAAAGTAGTAGTTTACAGTAATTGTAATTATTATTAGTGCTGTTTTTTAAAATTAACTAATATAATACAAATTTATCAATGAATTTAACTAACAAAAATAAATAATATATTAAAATTATTAAATATATTAATTAATTTCAAATGATTTGACTAAAAAATATTCTCATATAATGCATATTTATTAAAATTCAATAATTTTTTATTATTTATTTGACAAACAAAGCAAACTAATCCAAATTTATATTAACTAATCCAAACACGCATGCATCACATACACCCCGTGCTTCTCAAATGGGTGGTTATTCGCCTGCTACCTCACTTCTCAAGTGAGTGGTCCTGTATTCTTTCTTCCCATGTAACGTGAGCTGTATGCATTTTAAGTTATGTGTTTTATTTAAATATATTATTAATATAATTTTTTACATTATTAATTAATCAAATATGAAATAAAATTATTTTAGAATTAATTATTATAAAAAATACTGTTATATAAATGTGTATTTTAATTAAAATTTTAAATTATATATAAAAAAAGTAAAGTAACAAATCTGTAACACGGAGGAGAGAATAAAGATGAATGATAAAGGTAAAATGTGACAGAGAAAAAGAATAACGTTCGATTAAAAATAAAAAAGAATAACGTAAATGGAAAAAGGGAGGAAAAACAATAATAATACAGAAGAAAAAATTAGTGAAACCAGAGAATTAATATTGGGTAACACACAAAGTTTCTTTTTTTGATAGAAATTATTTAAAACCCGATTCGTAGAATATAAAAAAAATGCAACAAAATAAAGAATATTTGTATAAAGATAAAGTCGAGTGACACAAAATATCTTCATAGCTATCTGTACGGAAAGCAGTCATCACGGTGTACCATGTTGAAGCTTCTTTATTATGTATGATACATAATAATTGAAAGAGTGAGAACAACACACACAACTGAGTAAATAATTTAAATTAGAAAACTGAAAAACACCTAAAATACAAATTTATTTTGGTACGGACATAAAAAGGTGCATGTACATGGAGCCTATGTTTTCTTGCAATTACTAGATTGTAGAATGTGGGTTTACGAATGGATACGGATCCAGTGCAGTTGACGCGAGAACTGCACGTGCAGTTCTTTATTCGCTTAAGCCGTGTGCGAACGAAGGCTTAAGCCAATACTACAAGCATGGAGCGACACATTGAACTAAAGCGAATGGGTGATGCACTTGAGCTAAAATATACTCGCTTAAGAGAAAAATAACAGAGAGGATTACAAAATAGCTTAAGCGTGCTTAATTTAGCTTAAGCTGATGAGTTGTGGGCTTAAGCGCATATTTATAAGGCTTAAGCGCGTATATGATGGGCTTAAGCGAAACCTTAATGGCTTAAGCCTAAAAAAACAGAGAGCACACCTCCCAGGATTACACATTCGCTTAAACCTTCATGGCTTGGCTTAAGCGGAGAAACTAATAGCTTAAGCGGATATGTTTTAGCTTAAGCGAAAATTGCATAAAAAGAATGCAGAGAGAATGATCTTTTAGACTAATAAACTGGCTTAAGCTATAACATATTGGCTTAAGCAAACCAATACCAGCTTAAGCGAGCACTATGTAACTTAAGTGAAATTTGTGGGCTTAAGCGAAGATGCAGGAAAATTGAAAAACAAAAGCTTAAATTGACAAACATGGATATACTATTTCTGAAAACAAAATACATTTGTCCTTTACATAATTGTTTTTGACAAAAGAAAATAAAATGATTAAGATACAACAACTTTTAATTATTAATCAAGGATTTAACAAGTTGTGTCATCCAAAGGGTCCTGAAAAAAAAAACATAAATCCATCAAACAAAATTATACAACGATGAACTAAAGCACTAAATTTTCATTTTGAAATTTAATGAACTTACGGTCAATAATGTAGTGAAATTGAATTGATTGTTCAAAGTTTGAGGAGGATGATAAGATGGAGGTGTTGAACAATGTATATCACAAGGTTCAGAAGGAGGACTGGGTTGATATTCCTAAAATATTTATCAAATAAACACCATATGGTTAATAAGGAATCAAAATTGAAAGTAATGCATTAGCAAATTGATTGATATATGTACCTTAGCATGTTGGTTTTGTAATTGACCTCTCGTTATCCTATTTCTTTTCCTTTTTCCTTGTAGTTCAACCCAGCTTTTGAATCGTTTATATGTATTCCTCTTTAAGCTTGGTCGGTGCTTGAAACCTTTTGGGATTGTACCATCATTAATCATCAACTTAGATGCATGATTGTCAGTGTCACTGTCAACATGTTGTGTTTGTAATCGAAAGTGTGAGATTTGACGACACACAACATTTAAACATTCATCCACTAATGTCGAGTATTCCTCTGAACTAGATACCTCTGATGCAAGTCTAATCATTTTAAAAGCAAGTTGTCTGTATCGTTGTGTGGTAGCAACTTTTGGATCCCCCTCAATCTCTCTTCGTATGAAATTGTTTATAATGCCGGAACGACCTTCCTTTGTCCATCTCTTAAGGATATATTTTTCAAGAATAGCCTTGACATCATTTGCTTCAAATACCTTCAATGCATGAGAACAAAGCATACCAAATGTTTCAAAATTTTTACAGGTGCAAGAAATTGATTTTGAGACATTATCAAATGATACTCTGCATGATTTCTCTTGATTGACTGTAGTGATGACATATTCAAATATAAGAGGAGATTCAATCCTCTCTGAAATGCAACATGCTAAGAATGAAGTAAATTTTTATTGGAAAAGGGTGAATATAGGATAAGTGTAAATTTTTTCCATTTGTATCAAGATAGGAGACATCTCATATCTCAACATTGGTAGCTTATGTCGGGACTCATACTCACAAATTAGTTCATTGTAACGCTTCGCTTCAACTATACGTTCAAAACTTTAGAAAAATTGTTTAATGCTAACACTAGGTTTCATAGAAGCTTTGAAATCAGAATTTAAACTTTCAGAGAGTTGAGTACTTTGCATCCCTAGGGTGACAACTTCTTTCATATAACATGATGCCCATTTTTCTTTTATGGCATAAAGTGAGTTTATCCAATTGTTGTCATGGACATTGTACTCTTGAACAATCTTGGTCCAAGCTTTCTCAAAGTCAGTGAAGGTATCAAAGTCATACATGCATTTTTTGAAGTCTCTTAAAAAATGACTCCCACCCTTCATCAAATTACCAAGGTGTTTGATCTCATTTTGCATTAAATGCCACGTGCACAAAGAATGATGTGTCTCTGGCATGACTTCTACAAGGGCCTTAGCCATGGCTTGATCTTGGTCAGTAAACATCGTTATAGGTTTTTTGTGATTATGTACTTCTAAAAATGTTTCAAATAACCATTTAAACGAATCAGCCGTTTCATCATATAACAAAGTTGCACCATAAATGATGGTGGTTCTATCATGGTCAAAACCTGTGAACAAGGCAAGAGGTCTATTTGCACGATTAGTGCAATATGTAGTGTCCAAAGAAACTACATCACCAAAATATGCATAATCTAAAATCATCTTCGCGTCAGCCCAAAATACATTTGTAATTTGTTCATCACAATCCATCTGATATGCATGAAAAAATGAAGGACAATCTAACAACTGTTGCTGAAAATATTCCATCACACAACCAACTTCTCCATAAACCATACTTCTTTGTCTTCTTTCCTTTAAGTAATTCTTTGCATCCAACCGAGTATATCTGATATTGCATCTATTGCCTGCAAGTGTGCTTTGGAGTTGAAATGAGGATTTTTGTTGCAAACCAGATTCTTGAGCCATTTCAATCTCATAAGCTTAAACTTCACTTATCTTACGATGAGAAGCAAGTATGTGAGTTGTCTCCTCAAGTTGTAAGGGATGATTATGATCTTCTACAAACTCATGAATTATAAACTTCTCATTATTCCCCAAAGATACTGCAATTCTGGCAGAACATAGTGAAGGAGTTTTATGCCAATGCATGGCTCTTGCATCCACAAAAATCTGAGAAGAAGTCTTGCGTTAGAAGGACATCCATCTCCTATGATAGAGATGCTATCAATGCATTACTGGGGAACCCCCTCATCTTACAAGAAGGACAATTGTGCGGATACCAACAGCGGAGGCGCCTGACCACAGGATTTAATGATGATGATGTAGCAAGGTCCTTATGCATTCCCAACAAATCATATGAAACTAACTATCAAGGCAAGCCAATGAGGTTCAAGAGAGGGAATTTGAAGACACTGACTCAAATATGGATGTCATTTCTCTTTGCAAACATTGCTCCAACCGCTCACACATCAGATCTCCGCATGCCTCGGGCCTACCTTGTCTTCAGCATTATGGAAAACCTCACAATCGACATTGCAACTGTGATCTCTGAGGAGATTCACCAGCTTGTTTTGTCCACCAACTCCCCTAATGCATCTGCAACAAAGCCCTTGGGCTTTCCAGCATTAATCACTGCTTTATGTGCTGCCCAAGGTGTTCAGATACCAAACAATCCAACACAAAGCATCAAGTTGAAAAAAACCTATAAATGCCCAGTTCATAAACAACTATTGCATTAACTCATTGGACCAGCCACAACCACAACCACACCCAGCTTCTGATCCTTCTTCATCAGCACCACCATCAGCACAACCATCCATCCCCAAAATGACACCCATGGAATGGCGTATCACCCAACATCTGAATCAAATATAGCAACAAATAGAGGACAACAATCGGGCATATACACATATACACTACTAGATGGCGGCTAACCATCGAGCCTACACCAGCCTTAATGACTCTTTCTACCGCTTTACCCTACATCAGCATGCAGGAGAGACTTCAACATTTCCATAGCCAACCCTAGAGGATTTTGCAGGTGTAGTATCATGGCCTGGAGACACACCTTCCTTCTCAAATGAACCTAATGCAAATCATGAAGATGGTGGACCACAAGGAGAGGAACCAGAAGAAAGGTGAGAAGGAGAATGGGAAGAAGAAGAAACGGAAGCACAACTTGATCATGAAGGTGGTGATGGGGAAGGAGACCATGTGGAGGACGACCAGCCTATTCATAATGATGTTGATCTATAAGATGCATGAACACTTTGTTTTTTCTTTATTTGGTTTTAAAGTTTAGATTTTAGTTTATGTTTGAAGTTAGTTCATATTGTAAAGTTTCAAGGACCTATTTAGTTTGTTGCAGCTAAATTATGAAATTTCACTTTATTAACCACCTATCTAAATTCCTTTTATTTTGATTCTCTTTTATAATTTGTATGACTTGTTTACTAAATAAACCCAACAAATTATCTTATAAATTAAAACTTGTCACATACATATAGTAATCATTTTATTTTTTTTTGCCAAAAACAATTATGTAAAGGACAAATGTATTTTGTTTTCAGAAATAGTATATCCATGTCTGTCAATTTAAGCTTCCGTTTTTCAATTTTCCTGCATCTTCGCTTAAGCCCCCCAATAATCGCTTAAGCCCACAAATTTCGCTTAAGCTACATAGTGCTCGCTTAAGTTGGTATTGGTTCGCTTAAGCCAATATGTTATAGCTTAAGCCAGTTTATCAATCCAAAAGAGCATTCTCTCTGCATTCTTTTTATGCAATTTTCGCTTAAGCTAAAGCATATCCGTTTAAGCTATTGGTTTCTCCGCTTAAGCCAATGAAGGCTTAAGCGAATGTGTAATCCTGGGAGGTGTGCTCTCTATTTTTTTAGACTTAAGCCATTAAGGTTTCGCTTAAGCCCATCATATACACGCTTAAGCCTTATAAATATGTTCTTAAGCCCACAACTCATCAGCTTAAGCTAAATCAAGCACGCTTAAGCCATTTTGTAATCTCTCTCTGTTATTTTTCGCTTAAGCGCATCACCCATTCGCTTTAGTTCAATGTGTCGCTTCATGCTTGTGGTATTGGCTTAAGCCTTCGTTCGCTTAAGCTAGCCTATACGGGCTTAAGCGAAAATTGTCAAATTCGCTTAAGCCGTATCAAAATGGCTTAAGCGTATGAAGAACTGCACGTGCAGTTCCCGCGTCAACTGCACTGGATCTGTATCTTTGAAGAATCAATAAACTAAACTTTTTAAAGCTAATTAGTAGATAAATTTGTTAATTCTGAAAAATAAAATTACCATTTCGACAGAAGCACTCGGAACACAACAGTTTCGTTTAGCAAATTGCTAACACCTTTGAATAATAAAGATTAACTAGAATTATAGAAAGGTACAAAACATGTTTAATACCCATTACGTAAGCAACCCTTACCGCGCACAGAAAACAAACAACATAAATTAATCCATAATAGTTCTGGGCTTTGGTGATAAACTGAGAGCCTACGTCAGATATCAATTATGGATTAATTTGTGACAATCACTCGTGTGTCATTTTTGTTTATATTTGGATGGTAAAATCGTTAAACATTTATTATGTAATAAGTTGACAAATGATAAAACCCATATACCAACACGATTAAGTTATAAATTGCTGAACAAGGAGAAACACAGTAGTTAATATTATATATAAATAAAATGCTGTGAACCCTGTTCAAATTCCAAGCTACCTTATAGAACCCAAATAGCTTTGTTCTCTCCTTTTTGTTTATAAACACATTATAAGATTGATATGATTTAAGAAGAAAAATAAGCATACGATATATTGAAAATCAATCCAATTTAAACTTTATTTATTAATTCACCTATTTTTTGTGTGCTAATTTAATAGTTTCCAATCATGCATAAAATAAAATTTGCTAAATTATTATTTTGAATATTAAATTGATCAGTATATTTATGCACACATAAAAACATACCTTTGGTTAGACTTTCTCAACTTTGCTGGCTAGGCCACGCTTTTTATATTCTTTTATTGGAGAAATTGATGCTTAGTAACTGACAGTTCCAATTATAGATATAACAGGATATCTAATTAGCTTTGTAACATTTCATACACATCTCATTATTAAAGGCTCGCGTCTTGGTAGATAATGGAAGAGAACATGTGACTCTTCCAAACATTTACTTTTCATTCAAACAAAGACAACCTGCAAGACAAACAATGACAACTTAGTTTCTTAATAATTTGCAAACAGATGAATATTATATATGCCTGAACAACATTGACAGTGTAATACTTTAAAGATTCACGGATAAATAAATCTCATGGTGTACAAAGGTTTGCTAAGATCATTTATTAAAGCACATTTTTGAGGAAAACTTTGCAACAGAATGGAAGCCTAAATTTGATAACATCTTATGTTCATTGTGGTATCTGTCAACTACTTAATTGCTCCATATATCTCTTTTAGTAATACGGAATAATTCCCACAGCTTCAAGTTGGGTTTAAGAACCTTACGGTTTACAGTGTTAATTAGATTCTTGTACTTGCATGCTTATATGAAACCTCTAGAATCATGACTATAATAAAGAGAAACAAACCCCAAGTGGAGAGAAGCGTCATCATTATCAGATTCTTTAGCATGATTTGATGGGCTGCCAACAATGATTGACTTAGATGACTGCCCTTGATGATTTCCAAGACTTTGTATCTAAAACATATTTATATGATAATCTGATACAATAATTTAAAACAAAAACAATGGGTAATACAAATTTTCTAAATCATTTACCTGTTTCAGTCTTTGGTTGTCTTGCGTTAGTTCAATTCCCTACATGAAGAATAATTTTGGACATTAAAAGAGTGCTGAAGAGAGTGATTGATATAAATGAATCAACATGTTTTCTCTAGCGATCCGGTTGAATTATTTTCATAGAAGATGAAATATGAATATTTCTTCCTTTGGAAGCAAATAGTGACCTTTTAATTTGACCATCTTACCTTTTTCTTGAGCGTTGTGAGATCCTTCACAATTCTTTCATCCTGAAATACATATATTAAGAGCATTTATAGTAATTTCTGGAAAGTGAGATGACGATTCCAATAAACAATGACCAGGGGGATTTCTGTCAACAAACTAATAAAATACACAAGTGCATCACATTCAATCCAAAACCTTAAGCTGTTAGCTGCAACTCTTAGATATTTTAAGTATTATTTTTGAATTATTTAAAATTAAAGTTTTACCTTAATAACCTTTATAAAATTTGATTGAGGAGCAACACTTAAAGCATTCAAGGTGCTGCACCTATATTTTGATTTTAAAAAAATGGTGAAGGACACCAGGAGACTTAGATATCTCATCCAACGCAAAACTTTATAGTTTGGTGGAGGAAAAAAAAGATGCAATACCTTATAAAAACTTGGCGTTTTAGTGTAATACCTTATAAAAATGGTTGAGGACACCAGGAGACTAGATATCACAGATATGTTATTCAATTTGTCAATTTTCATCTAATGTATATACAACTTCTTCCTCAGTCCTCACACATGACACTTCAGCAGTATTAAATTTCCAAATACATAATGAGCATAGAAGGTTACAAAACAAACCTTTGCTTTTGACACAAGGGTCAAACCCTTCCTTAGTAGTTTCTCTAGTTTCTGTAATTCTCGAATTTTTAGTCCTTGCAGCTCTTCTCCCTTCAACTTCCTGTTAAGGTAAAACCATGTTTCAGACAATATGGTAGGTTAATTATGCATCATAGGGACAAAGTACGAGCAGTGCAGCACGCATCGTTTATGTACCTTAGCTCACGAGTCTTATCTGCCACTTCATTGCGCATCACAAAGTAGTTGTTGGTGTCATTGTCAGTCTACAGATAAATTTCCATGAAATCTCCAGTACCGTTTATTAATTTATTGGTGAAGCAAAGTGAAAGATAGTTCTATTTATCTAATTAACATATTTTTCATTTATTATATTAGCACTTCAAGCAGATTTTGATTTTCTTCTGTATTCCTGGATGCTGAATACAGGATTTCGTTGTACTTGCATATTGCCAAGACACATTGAGTGGTGAACACTGGCTAACATCTATTTTGCTTCAGCAATTGCTAATGAGATGTTATCAGCATCTTATTATGGATCAATTAATAGTATCATGTAATACTAATTTTTTTCAAATTACATTAAAAAATGCTTCTGTTGGCTGATTCCTCTATGAAGTAGAGCCTATTTGGATGTTATTAAATCTTTATTTGAGAAAGTTGGAAAAAGCATGTTACCTGCAGCTCTACAGATGGATGTTGTAATTTGTCAATCCTTGCATGAAGATTATACCTTTCAACTACCTGCTGAACACTAAAAATAGCCAAAAAAGAAAAAGACTCATTTTCTTTTCTTACATCCCATCTATTTAAATTCAAACTCATCCAGGATGATTATATAAGAAAGTTTAGAATATAATTAACACTCACATGTATATCTACAATAGAAAGGTAACAATTACACTTTCTCACCTTTTGAACAACAATTGTTTTTTAACAACAATTGTTTTTTAACATTTTTTGATTCATTGGAATTTGGAGCTTCTAGTCTCTAAGAAAGAATATATTCAAATATTTAGACAAACAAGTCATAAATACTTGAAAGAAAAAAATAGAAAATTTCTAAATACAATCATATCAGGCTTTACAATATATACATGGCTACAATTTTTTTTCCCTAAAATATATGCGTACTAATATGTTAATTGTAAATCTGTATAAGTTTACAACAATTATAAGATTACACCATAAATTATGTGAGACTATTTTAACATTCTCCCTTAAGTTGGTAAATAGATTCCTAGTTTACACCATAAATTACAAGAATACACCATAAATTATGTGAGACTATTTTAACATTTTCCCTTGAGTTGGCATATAGATACCTCTCGTTCAGTACTTAGATCATGAAACTCTTTGTAGGAAATCCTTTAGTCGACAGATTTGCAAGTTGAGTTTATTGAAGCAATGTATCAGAAATCAGACCATTATCTAGCTTTTACTTAACGAAGTGTTAATCTATCTCAATTTTGTCAAGTTAAATCAGGTTTTAGGCAATAGTAATAGCTCCATTGTTGTCACAAAATAACTTCACGAGAGTCTCACATTTGATCCCTTGGTCATCGGGAATAATGTTAATTTAAAGTAGTTCTCAAATTCCTTGTGTCAGTTCTAAACTCAGTTTTTGCACGACAAAGCTACCACATTTTGTTTTTCCAGTTTTTACTTCTCCATGATTTCCACCGAAACATGAAGTATCTTGAGGTTGACCTATGATCAATGACTAACCCTACATAATCAGCATCTATGCACATTTTCATAGTCAGGGTTTTGCTCCTCCTAAATAATAGCCCTTTTACCGGCCGATGTAGATTTAAGGTATTGGATGATCTTGTGCACTAAGTTGTAGGAAGGTATCTTGCCATTGGGCATACGTAAGTTAACTTACAACACTAACACTAACAACTTATGCTAGGTTTGATCTAGTGTTAGCTAGATATATCAAATTACCAACCCGCCTTTGGTATTAGGCTTTATCTAATGCTCCCTTCATAATTTCCATTCTATGATTTTGTTCAAAACCATAAAGCCAATTGCTTTCAAAAATCAAGGAACATTTCCTTTGAGAAATGAAAATGACCTCTTTAGAAAATACATATATAATCCCAACGAAGTATTTTAGTCTTCTAAGATCCATTATCTTAGATTTAGTTGTCAAATTTTCTTTCTATGTGAAAGGAGGTATGGGAGGTCAAGAAAACTTAGAAGGAATCATTAAAATTGATCTCATAATAATAATATTACTAATCATTTTTAATTAAGCTCATTCATATAACTGACCTTACCTAATGTGATAAAATTTTTGTTATTATTGTTGTTTTCATCAGCCTAACCCTGTGTGTAGCTCAAAAACACCATATCAACTAACATACTTATTTTTCTCATTAAGAGAATCTAAGTCATAACTACATGATCACATCATATAGACTTCTTCCGCTAAATTCATTCTGTGACATTTAATTATTGTTTTTCTCATCTATGAACTATATGGGAGATTAACATAGTCATGAAAAATGCAAGCCAGCACACTTTTTAAATATAATAAATACATTTATATGATTGGTTTTTAAAGAAGCCAAAGTACTTGTATATAAATTGATCACATTTCAAAAATTGCTTTGACTATTTTAAAAATCAACTAATTATAATTACAAGAGATGGATTAAAGAGTGTGTTCAAAAGTTATTGTTAGTATTCATCATATTCTCATAAGTGTTCACTTTTTGTAGTTATTCTCTTTTATTATAGTTGTCAGGTAGTTAGATATTTTACCTTTTATTTTCAATTGTTTATATATTAATGCTTTGGTTTCTTTCATAAAGGTATTGTACATTCGATTACATTAAATACAAACAGACATTCTCTTTTTTCCAAACACTTTTTTGTTTAAACCTTTTACAGTATCAGAGCTATCTTAAGAGGGCTCTACTGCACATTTTGATACATAACTAAAGAAAATAATCAAAATAACATCCCACAGTAAACACCTGAGAATCAATCACAAAATTCCAGCAATCCTTGTTTGTTATCTTCATCTGGGGAAAAACCCAAGAACCATCCTTGTTTCACCACAGCTTGATAGCACAAATTATTACTCATGGAGCAAGTTGATGAAACTCACTCTTCTTTTGAAGAAGTTTAAGTCTGTGGATAGGTCTATAACAGCCCATGATACTCAAAACACCATGATTCTTGAGAATTCATAGCTTGAACCTAGTTCTTCCTTCAAACTTCCTTTTATTGTTGTATGAATTTTGATGGAATTTAGAGATGGGACAAAGTTCGTGTTTTAGACGAAACAAACTGAGAAATAAGGTATTGTGTATGTGATTGTTTTACTTTTCTTAAGGCATTAGTTTGGTCATTTGTTTCACCATTACTATTAGTTACAACATTATTTGATCTATCAAAAGTATGAATGGTATAACCTTCAATTCTTACCAACAATTTAGACCTATAGGTTGTTATTAGACAAGTTTAGGTTCTTTTCTCCTATGATACACAAATTTGAATGCGCCTACCTTGGTCTTGGCTAGTTTGGTGATTCAAGCAGTGAGGTACCATAAAAGGTGTCAATTCTCACACTCTAGGAAAAAGAAAAAAACAAATACGAGTGTTTAAAAGCAAGGAGGACTCGACTTGCAACGAGGATTTCAAAGACAACTGCAACGAGGATTACAAAGACAACTTACGAACATTGCCCTTGAAGTTCAGGATAAGTGAAATAGGACTTTTTTTCATGAAAAGTGACATCTATAGAAGTTATGAATGGACAAATCAAAAGGTTTAACATTTATAGCTCTATTTTTTTATGCATAATCTAAAAAGACACATTTGACAACTCAAGGATCAAGTTTAGTACAATACTGTTAATGAATACAAATAAATGCTATACAACAAAAAATTTTAGACTGAAGACTCTCTATAACAGGAAAAAATGAGAATAAGATCTAAATGGTTATAAGATGCACAAGACTTAATTCCCATGTCCCATGAAGGTAAAGAAGCAATAGTTAAGATAGTTTCTTCCAAAAATGACTTTGAAATAGATATTTAGAAATTGGAACATTACGGCCTTGGTGATTTTAAGTGTCAAATTTTCTTTTTAATCATTATCCCATTTTATTGAGGGTTATCAATGCATGTGAATTTATGAACAATACCATGGTCTTTCTTTAAGAGGGATGAGAGAGATTGGTTGAGATACTCCAAGATGCTTGATTGGCTTCCTAATTTCTTTTATACCATGCGGTACGTTGATCAAATAATCAATATACTTCTAATTTATCTTTCTTAAAAAAAGCTACGCAAAACGGATACCATCATTAATTAATAAAATAAACCCTTTATTACTAGCAATGCTAGAAGTAGAGGCAGGTTCCAGAAAATAGATAAGATTAAAAAAAATTATAGCATTTATTGGAACTACAAGGAAAAGGCACGTGATGCTTAGCAATAGGGATGAAATGGTGGCTTTTTTTTTTTTTTTGTTAGATTACAGGTATCCTCCATCAAAGCAATCTTGTTTGAGTCAGATAGAATGACTACTAATCACAAAACTTTCTTTCTTTGTCTGAGTATTTAATACAGCTATATTCACTATGATTCAAACTTGAAATCACAAATTAAGCTATAATAACTCCTATCAGTTTATCCTCATGCTCGGTGGTATAAAATGGTGGCTATTTGAAAGATGGTGATAGAAATATGATATTTTATTTAAAAGATATAAAGATAAACTCCAGTTACAAAACTAGAATGCCACAGAACTTCAAGAATCTGCACTTTTCAATGCTCAAAGGTCCTTTTTTTCTCTCAAATGATACAATAAAAATTTCCTCTCAACCCTTTTTTCTTACTTATAGACAACATGCTATATTTATCTAATGATTCCAGCCCCCAACTAACTAACTAACTAACTCTATAACTAATTAATTATACCTTTAACTAACTATTTATTCTAACAAACTAATGGCTACCTATTAGAATAGACCTACAAGTGCCAGTTTGACCAGTAAGGTCAAATATAGAGAATCACATATAGAGAGAAAGTGCATGTGAAAGGGTATTTGATGGTGGCGCTTTGGTGGTGGGCTGGAAACTAGCAGGTACACAATGAGGTGAGATTGCTAGAGTGGTGGTGGCTAGGGTCCGGGAGTAAAAATCAAAAGCTGTGAATTTATTGATAGACGTTTCTACCATTCACAATGAAGGTCGCTAGGGCTTGCAGAAGCAAAAATTATAGATCAGGAACTCCAATACAATTTCAAAGGAAATGTTAGAAATTTCTGAATATTATTAGTGATTTTGAATAGTACAAGGTTTTATAATATATACAAGGCCACATAATTGTTTTCCTAAAAATATGCCTAATAACACACAGGAACCGTAAATTTGTCCTAGTTTACAATAATTACAACAAAAATTGTAAGGAATGGGAATCTAGGAACATAAGTCCATGGCAAGCAAGTTTATGTCTCGAGGATGTTTACAATTATAGCGATACAATAATGTATTCTAAAGTATCCAGCAATATAAAAACCAATAATTATTATGTTGAGCATTCAACAATTCTCCATAACACAGAATGTTCTGATAGAATATTTCAAGGGCCAAAACCCCATTTGAAATCTGAACAATGCATTGATGATATGTCATTATTATTAAGTTAATTTCATTCTCAAAAGAATTGTAATGAAGCCAAGTTGAATGAAGTGAAAAGTTGTTGCTCCTAATAGACAAAAATCTATCATT